AATTCCATCCATAAAATGGTGTTCTTGAACCTGTCTTTCCCCACCTTTCAGGGAAGGTAAAAGGATCGGTGGCAGAATGTATGCCTGAGCCCTCTGTAAACTGCTGAGCAGTGTCAGACACGTGAATGACTATTAATATAATCTACTATAGAAAAAAGGAACCGATTTTTAAAGTCTTTTCCAATAGATAATTTTGAATTCTCTCTTTGATTATTATGCTATCGCCTGAGACTCAAGTTCTGATTTTGACCAGTTTTCAATACATTTATTGAATGCCTACTAGGTTACATTAGCTTTACGTGTTAGTTCCTTTAATAATCTCAACAACTGTATGAGCCAAGTAGTAGTATTACCTCTGCATTCCCCGTGAGGAAACCGAAACACAGAAGGTGAAGTAGCCTGCCCAAGGTCACAGAGTATGTGGCAGAGTTGGGACACTGCTCCCCTGTTCTGGCTCTCAAGGCTTGTGCCTGTAATTTCCACTCTGGCATAAACACCTTCCCTCATACCCTAGATATGCATAAGCTTCTTTATGGAGAGTTGAAATCATTTGAGTAAAACCTACGTCTTCCTTTGTTCTAAAGTCAGTCGTTTGATTGTTGAGCCTTAACTATAAAATAGCTATTATCCCCATGAGTGAGAATAAAGAGTGGGTGGGACATGCCAAGAATTGGGGGTAAGGTTACCACCTCCTTTCTCAGAATTATCTTTCAAAGCCATGGGATCCAGTTATTCACGCTGGAAAACAGTACGTTGAAAGAGTCTAGATACTTTCTGTAACACATGTTTTGTAGAATCATCTTAGTGTGATTAAATATTAGATGCTAAATTTTTCAAGGGCAGTTTGATAGTGTAGGCTGGTTGGAGTTAGGTTAGAGGAGGAAGGGAAGTTTCCAGGTGACTCTGTCCAGCAAGAATTACTCAAAATGTCAAACAGTGAAGGGCACCAACTTCCCCCCACCCCGGTTCAGAGTTCTCCAGTTCAGGGGGTTACCTCACCCACGCTTGAAGTTCTAACGTGAGCAGAGTTTGAAAATAGAAAAAGCTAGTTATCTAGCTTTTGCTTCCAAGTGTACCTACTGTTATTTTATATAATTTTCTTTATATTCCCTTTTAAGCTCCAAAATTTGTTCATTTGATTCTTCTCTCTCTCTCTAGAGAAACAAATTTAAAGTTCAAAATGGCACTTGAAATCACACACCAATATCTCCAAAGAGAAAATTCATTGGCAACATTTGATGGTTTGTGCAAACACATCTTACTTTGTTTTAAATTGTAGTTGCTTCATCCAGTCTCTATTAATTAAAAACAAAATCTTTCATATATGAGTACTTACATGAATCATATCTTTTTTAAAGGTTTTATTGAATGTGAAGAACCCAATAACCGGCTAGATAAGTTTACAGGAACGCTATTTTGGAGAAACACAAGTTTTCCTTTGGACGCTGATAAAATTTTGTTACGTGGCTGTGTAATAAGGAACACTGATTTCTGCCATGGATTGGTCATTTTTGCAGGTACTTTCAGAGTTTCTTGGGAAATTGATCTGGTTTGCGCTTTCTTGATATAAAGAAGGGGATTGCTTTTCTGTTCTTTCTCCATCGAAACCAGAGGAAGAATAATTTTACCGACATGCCAGTGAATTGATTTTCCCAATTGCTGATCATACTGAATTTTCCATTTTTAGGTGCTGACACGAAAATAATGAAGAATAGTGGGAAAACCAGATTTAAAAGAACTAAAATTGATTACTTGATGAATTACATGGTTTATACGGTATTTATTTTCTTCTTCCATTGATGAAAAGCTAGATTGCTGTCTTTCGCTCTAATTTTGTTGTACTTTTTTCTAATGCAAAGAAATCTTACCTCTGTAAGCCAAGTAAAAAAA